TGCATCCATTCAAGCCAGGGAATGATCACCCGCTGCTTACTGGACTAAAACTAGCTGCAGCAGCAAGCTACATTTTCACAAATTGTCTCCCACCAGAGTACTGACCAGGCTCTGGCCTGCTTAGCTTTAGTGAGGAACCAGACTCTGCCTACTGCATGCAACAGCTGCATTCGTATTGTGTACCTTAATAAAGCTGCTCTAATAGAGGGGTAGCACATCCTGACAAACTCAATACGGCCATCAGGATGCGCTACCAGCTTAAACAATAAGGGAAAATTCGTGATTAAGATGGGGAATTAAAGACAACAGAATTTCAGGAGGCCAGTTTAATGGCTCTTCTGAACAATGCTCCTTTTTACAGGTGCCGGTCTAACGCTTTATCAAAAGGTTGCTTCTTTTTACATTCTGAAGTCCAATTCGTTATAAGACTTTTGCACCCGTACAAGTCAAGGAATGAGCTCCCCCTGCTGACCGGTCTAAAACCAGCTCCAGCAGCAAAAAGCTAGTTTTTCACAATGGCCTACCAGCCATCAGAATGTGCTACCAGCTTCAATAAGAAAACAAAGTCAAATTCGTAATTGAGGTGGGGAATTCATGACAACAGAATGAATCTTTTGCTGTTTTTTTCTTTTTCTTTCAGTGATGCTGTGAAATGATCACTATAACATGGGTGCTACCATATTTTTAAAATGTTTGGGAACCACTGAATAACAGTATGACAGAAAAAAAAACACTTTTAAAATGAACAAATAAACATAAAGATGTTTCTTTAAAAAATGATGCACAATGAAACTGAGGCAAACGACAATGCTGGTAGTCTGTTCAATGCTGATTTAAAGGTGATTCTGTGATGACGACATTAGATTATAATCATACACTTACAAAATATGTCACTTGTTTTCCAATACAGAAGCTGCACACTGATTATGTTTTGACTAACATTTCCTTACTTCAGAGAGCAGTTGGCAGGGATTCACAAGCGTTTGAATTTCCACTACTTCCTGATGGATGTAGGTGCCGTTGATGAAGGTTTTGCGTATTTCATTATTTTTGTACATTCTAGTCATTTCGCCAGTAAACGGGACTTCAGTCGTGAAGGTATTGCTTGTTATTTCAATGGTGCAAGAATGGCTGGGTGGAACATTGACTTTCAATGGAAGTCGTGGCCTAATGGTTAGAGAGTCGGACTCATAACCCAAGATTGCGGGTTCAAGTCTCATACCGGCAGGGATTGTAGGTGGGGGGAGTGAATGTACAGCGCCCTCTCCCACCTTCAATACCACCACTGAGGTGCCCTTGAGCAAGGCACCGAACCCCCAACTTGCTCCCTGGGCGCCGCAGCAAAAAATGGCTGCCCACTGCTCCGGGTGTGTGTTCACGGTGTGTGTGTGTTCACTGCTGTGTGTGTGCACTTTGGATGGGATAAATGCAGAGCACTAATTCCGAGTATGGGCCACCATACTTGGCCACATGTCACATCATGTCATGTCACTTTCAGAGTGCAGGGTTTTCTGAACTACAGACGTAGTGTTAGATCGAGAGCAACTGTAGTCGTATTTAAGCCCAAATTTTCCTCCAATACTTGCCATAGTCAGAATTTGACCACAGACTGATATCTCTGCATTCACTCCAAATGTATGGGTTGGGTTCTACCTGTTTGGTAAGTAGTTGTTTTGTCAATATTTTGGTCGAATTTCACCGTATGTTTGGACAGTTTGCAGTTCTTGTTGGAAGCTTGGAAATTTTGAAGCACTTAGGTTTTCTGACGTCACCACACTTGACATGAAATACTCAACAATGTTTAAATGCTGCATTTTAAAGTCAGTGTTTAAGGTGAGGACTTCAGTTGTTTCAATAACATATGATCATATCAGTGTCCCCCTCATTTAAAAAAAAAAGAAAAAAAAAGTTCATGATGTGTGGAAGCTTTCGATTGGTACATTTCTTCCATTCCATCATCTCAAAGTTATCCTTGTTCACTAAAAACATAATGGCATTATAACTAACAACTGAGCTGCTTATATGCTCCTGTAACAATGTTATACATGACATTTCATCTTTGTCAAAGAAGCAAAACTCACATTGTGGCAGAAGATTAGCACTGTAATACTCTTTTTGTTCATCCTTGACAGAAACTGCATCCTTCGGCACTTCTGCTGATGCGACCCATTTCAAGTTGCTGTTGAGATCAGTTGCACTCTGGATGACATTTTTATCATTTTCTTTTTTGGTTTTAGCAGATTTAAAGGGGAACAGTTGAACAATTTAACAGATAAATTAGTTGACCATTGAAAGAGCTAACAAAAGAGTTCCTACACATTTTCAATGTCAAAATTCCATACTTTTCCAGACTCAAATTTCCATACTTCTCTGTACATTTTTTCAGACCATATTTCATAGTGAAAAACAAATCAATTAGTAATGATTAAAGGTTCAAATTCACAACATTTAATTCACAATTTGATACTCTCAAAATACTACAGATGTTGTTGTCACAGTACCAAAATGTCAGTAGTCTGTACCAATACCAGTATAATTTCATGGTTCTCAGTACATAGCAAAAACTATTATCATATATAATAACTATTTAACTATTTGAAATTAAAAAAGGCAATTATTAATGCTAATGCTAATGCTAATAATATATACATTAAAACAGCATGTAACCTTAACCTTAATTTTTCAATTAAGTAAACATTGCTTTAAAAAGGTTAAGTGAAAAGATAGCAATTAAATAAACAAAGAAAATTGTTATATAGAATATGTGGCAAATATATTAGTCTCCATTTACTCCAAGATCAATTTTGACATCAGAGTCGCATTTTGGATTCAGTCCTGCATTTAAATATTTTGCACTCTTGTGAAAACTCCCCTTCTAATAAATAAATCTCTCTACACTGCATGATAAATCACTTATTTGCATAATGTTTACATTTTGTTGGTTATAATGAAAATACACGAGCGTGCAAAACTCTAAAGCCCTGTAGAATTTACGTTTAGACCAACAATGTCACAAATGCACATTATTCACTGCAGTGTTGGGTGTAATGCATTACAAAGTAATTAATTACTGTAATTGAATTACATTTCTCTTGAAAAAGTAAAGTAAGGGATTACTCTTGATTTGTTTGTAATTCAGTTACAGTTACTTCTGATGTAATTGCATTAAATAAATAAGCAGTTTCAAGTCTATCCTTGCATTGTTCAACTGGTCGAGGATATGGGATTTAGAAATTAGTAATAAGTAATGCAATACTTTTTAGAGAGGAATTACTACAGTAAGCTAATTACACTGCTTAAGATATAATTAGTAGCTATTAATTACTGTTTTAGAGTAACTTACCCAACAAAGGTCAACTGTTGCTGATTTTTGAACTTCCAGCATGCATTGCAGCATGAATAAATGATGTGGTTACTTTGTGCTGTTTGCTGACTTTGACTTTATCCACAGAAGAATGTAGGTCATACAGGTTTGCAGCGACATGAGGGTGAGTAAATGATAGAATGTTCATTTTGCGGTGAACTATCCCTTTAAAATCCTCAGTTGCAATGCAGTGATTTATAGTGGACATTTGTTTAAACCCAAAGAAAGATAATATCTTTACAAGAAAAAGACTCTTTTAGTGACATGAGGGTGAGTAAATGATAGAATGTTCATTTTGCGGTGAACTATCCCTTTAAAATCCTCTCAGTTGCAATGCAGTGATTTAGTGGACACAATTATTTAAACCCAAAGAAAGAATATATTTTTAGGCAAAATAATGTTTTGTATACTCATATTGTATGCTGAACTGGAAACCAATGTAGTGAGCTTAAGACTGGTATTTTTTCACCCTAGTCAGAAGCCTGGCCGATTCATCTTGTAGTTTGTAGCCAGGCAAGAGATGATTAATTAATTCTAATACTGACAATTACAATAATCCAGCCTTGATGTAATAACTGGATGAATTTCCCCTTTCATTATTTTTTACAAGCAGTCAGAAGCCTGGCCGATTCATCTTGTAGTTTGTAGCCAGGCAAGAGATGATTAATTAATTCTAATATACTGACAATTACAATAATCCAGCCTTGATGTAATAACTGGATGAATTTCCCCTTTCATTATTTTTTACAAGAAAGACATGATTTTACTTTGGCTAAAGATCTCAAATGGACGAAACTAGACTTAACCAGACCATTAACTTGTTTATCAAGCGTTATTTCACTGTCAAAGACAAGACCCAGGTTATTTACACTTGATTTCACATACACTCTAAAAAATGCTGGGTTAAAAAGGGACAAACCCAGCTATTGGGTTGCTCTGAACCCAACCGCTGGGTCAAAACAACCCAATAGCTGGGTTTGTCCCTTTTTAACCCAGCGCTGGGTAATATTTAACCCAGCATTTTTTAGAGTTAGGGGACATGAGAATTAAAAGTTATCATAGGTGTTTTTCAGGCTTCCTCTGTCCCAAACATTATGATCTTAAGTCTTGTTCTCTCATTCCAATTTAAAAAATGAAAAAGACATCCATGACTTCAGGTGGTCAGGCAAAGAGAGAATCTAAATTCTTGAGCTGTTCTAGGGGCAAATAAAATAAAATACTGATGTCACCTCCGGGACAAAGAGGCAAACAAACAGGTTAACGTAAGGCAGAGAGTTTATTAATAGGAACTGAGGAGGAGCTTCCAACAGAAAAGAGTCAAACGTAGGGATAAATGGAAGCATAGAACACAGTCTTATCTGGGGTCGGCACTCTGGTCCTCCGGCCGAGAACTGAGGAATCCGAGGTTTGGTAGGCAGATCGGGAGGCAAGGAACCCATGCGGAGAAGCTTGTAACCTTGAGACCAGCCGACGAGTGAATGAGGTGAGTGAGTATTTGAGTGGTGTGGTAAGTGGGTGCAGGTGTCCGTGATCAGTAATCAGGTGATTGTGAGCGGGTGTAGGAGGCTGATTCGGCTGGTGAGGCAGGTGTTTCCGTGACAACTGAGGCCAGAGGAAGCATATGAAACAAGTTACGTTTAAACCAACAGTGCTATCTACTGTTACTATATTTCAAAACATGTTTTCAGGCCACTATAACCATTCAGAAATCTTAAAAACTACATGCAACAAATAAAACAGTTGACTCTTTGGTGGTCAAGCCTTACAATAAACAAAACCCAATCAAAATCTTAAAATTCCAATGTACAGTGAATCATTTTACTACATCCCAAAGGAAAAATGAAAATGGGGAAAAATCGCTCTGGACTTCGTTGCAGAGTAAGCAAGAAGCATGTGGTAACATCATGGCAGCTGATCTTGCTCTGAAAGCACCCAGTTAAAAATCCATAGATATTTATTTCGTCCAGCTGACTTTGGGAATGTCGAAATGCTCTGTCAGTGTGTCCAGGTGTCTGTTGAAATCCTGTAACACACAAAAAATATTGTTAGTCTCACACACACACACACACACACACACACAGGCTACATAAAATATGAACGTCGACGTTAGTAGTGACAGACTCACCTCAACTCTTCTCTTATGTGATTTGGAGGCCTTCTTTAAAATTTTTTCCATTTGCTATTAAAAAGTTACAAAGAGAGAATATAGCAATAGCAAGTCAAACCGCAATTTCTGTCAGTGAAAAGTCTTAAATTAGAAATTACGTAATTTCATTGCTCTTTGAGCATTTGAAATAATCATAAAACAAATCAATTAACTACTTGTCTTATAATATATATACAGTATATATATACTGTATATATATATATATATACACTGCCGCATATTTCTACTACTTGTAGGAAAACCTTTTATATATATATATATATATTCGTCATACCCTTTTTCTTGTATTTTGTCGAATGCCATCTGTGCTGGTGTCCTTTTATCAACATAAACTTTCTCGTTTCCTTTCCTTGTCCTATGGAAAAAAATCATGAAGAAAAAAACGTAAATTCTAGCCAGTAACGTAGTCATACATATACATACATAACTCGCACAACAACACAGAGCTAGCATAACAGCTGACGGCTATCGTGAAGGAAATGCCAACACATGCTTTTACTTTTACTCATTTAGCAGACGCTTTTATCCAAAGCGACTTACAAATAAGAAAAAGTAATTAAAACTAAAAGCTAAAACTCTATAAATACTAATACATACATACATACATACATACATACATACATACATACATACATACATACATACATACATACAGTGTGATGAGAGAATCAAATTAGTTTTAAGGGGAAACATTATTATAAATTATAATTTTTTTATAAAAAATAAGTATAAAAATAAAAATATAAAATTAAAAATATCACCACTGTCGTTTGTCATTTTCAAGTGGCAGTATTTGCCCACTGGAACTGATTTTATGAGACTTTTTTTTTTTTTTTTGGGAAGGGCTTTTTTAACATAATGTCGTCACTGTACGTCAAATACTTCTACAAGAATTTCAATAAATTAATAGAAATACATTTAAATCCGAAAAATTATTGGTATTAATTGAATTCAAAAAGAGCTGTAAATAATGCACAAGTATCATATTGTATCATAATAAAATAAACAAATAAAAACGGGTGGTTGACCAGTATGAGTTTTGTATGAGCGATATCAAAATTCTTGAAATACTTATCTTACACAGTATTTGAAATATGTGTAAAACATACATTAAATATATTAAATATATTTTAACCTTTTGCAAAATGTTGTAAGTAGATTTTGGAACTGACAAAAGAGGGAACAACCATACAGACAAGTCATAGACCCCTGATTATTTCTTATAATTTACATGACATTTGTATAAAGTGATTTGTATAAACACTCAATCATCATTGGCTTGCGGATTCTCCACCCATTTCCCTTCAGGGCGCGCGTACGTCACGTCTACGCCTTCACAATTTCGAAATCACGTTGCGCGCTTTCAGCGGAGAGCTTTACGTTTGAAAGCGCGTCTTTACGTAAAAGACGTACTATTTTCCAAAGCGAGTGGAGGCAGTAATGTAACAGCAGCGGATGAGCGGAGAGAGAGGGAGTACTGTACTGCGCTATCCTTCACTTTCCGGTAGGAGGTAGTGGTGGGAAGCCTGACTAATTTCCGTGAATCGGTTCTTTTGAACAGTTCATTTCAAAGAAACAATTCAGCGATTCTCTACGCCATGACGACATTTCGTCACTACGTGGTCCCGGCGTGGCTCTAAAACGTTACGTATATTGCTGTTTACTATGCTTTTTTCGATGAAATTTTATGTAAAAGAGTGTTTAGTGTCCCAGTTCAGTCAGTTTGCTGCAATGTCCCAACTCATAAAAAACATAGTTTAGAACCTAAATATAATTTTCATTTACATTAAAAATCCTGATTATTGATTTACATTTTGGCTAAATGAGCCGTCATAAACGTAATTACAGTAGACCTAGGTTTTATTGGTCAATATTTATGCAATTGGGCTTTTAAAATATTTACAATACTCTCAGCGGAATCAAGAACCAGTCCGATTCTGGAACGAGTCGTTTTGAAAGATCCATTAAAAAGATTCGATTCATGATTCTGAATGATTCGTTCGTGAATCTCACTCACGTCGCTAGAAGGAGGTATCCAGAGCGGTTGTGTCACTCGGAAGGAAACGTCTTCGTCAGGGATTCTGTGTTTTTTTTATATGGCTCAAGAAAAACCTAGCGACATCCTTACCGTCATTTGGAAGAAAGATGCCTGAATTATTTGCGTTTTATCGAATCTAGATCAATATTCACGGACTGATGCGGCCATGGCAAGTCTCGGTGTCAGCTTTATCGAGACCCGCCTGCAACATCTGAAGGCTACAAAGTGAAAGATAAATTATAATTGAGTAAGTTTATCTGATCTCGGCAGACTTCATCTGCGCGCATGCGAGATAACAGTTCTGCGCTCTGGATATACTGATGTGAACTGATATAGGCTGAATGTCTGTCCAAGATAATGTGATTTTGTTTTTCCATAGACATTTTTCTGTGACATTATCATCGGCGAGTCTAAAACGGGGACTAATTTGTGCCATTTGCCTTGTAAAGTGTTTTTAAACGCCACATTCGGTGGTTAATGAACGGATATCTTCATCTACAATCAGCTGACCACCTCTGAATTCACTGCATTAGAAGAGATAGCCTGGAGTTTTCCTTTATTTGCTTAAACAGAAGCTATTCGGAACCCAGATATTTACTCTTGTGTTAAAGGAGCCTATAAGGATCGTGGTTGAACAGTAACGGGATCTTGGAGATGTCAGGCCGGCCTAGGACCACCTCATTTGCGGAGAGCTGCAAGCCAGTGCCGCAGCCTTCAGCCTTTGGCAGCATGAAAGTCATCAGTAAGTATCAACATCTACTACTACTCTATATCTCATATCGTGATATTTCTCATCCAAACACTATAAGATAAACAAGAAATTTACACTTGGTTATGATCAGGATGGATATGTGTATGATATACAGTTTGTGAGCATCTGTCATATAATCTTTCCCCTAATGTAATGCTGTCTGGATCTCAAGGGATGGGTCAGGTCCTGTCTCTTATTATCAGATCTGCTCAATGGAAATACATTTGCTGCATTGTGCTCTGAGAAAGCACCCTGCCTGGGCATCATTGCACAGCTCAGTAGTTTATTCCAGGGAGGTTGCAGTGCCCAGACCTTTTTTTTCCCAGCAAGATAATGACTGCGTTAACATGCACAAGAATTGTCAGATAATAATCCGATTTTTAAACATGTAATCATGTAAACACATCACCCTGATTACAAGTTAACTAAAACTAAACCATAAAAAAAAAAAAAAAATTCAATTACTTTAAATAAATGAAACATTTACTGAAATAAAATAAAATAAAATATAAAAAAGCTTTTTCTTAATTTCAGCTAGTTGCCGCATTGTTTAATTGGATGTAGTAAAAATAAACGTAAAAATAAAAGTGAATAAAAGCTACTGTACATAGACATAATTAAAAAACAAATGAAAATGACAGAAACACACAGCAAAATAACTAAAACTTTAACTAAAATAAAATGAAAGCAGAAGATATAAAAATAAAAACTAATTCCAAATGTTAATAAACTATAATAGTATTCCAATGATCCTAAACTAACACTGACCTGATTACCATAACCAGATGAATCAAATATTCCAGGTTATAGAAGTCTGAAAAAATAAAGTCTTTATGTGACCCAAATGTCTGATTAAGGAATTAAGAACTGTCTTTTACAGATTTTTAAAAAATATTGTGTCCATCACATTTATATGATAAACACATGATCATATTCTGATATTAATAGAATATTCCTGTATGGACACAAAACTGTCATTTAAAGGGACAGTTCACCAAAAAAATGAAAGTTCTGTCATCATTTACCATCAAGTTGCTCCAAACCTGCATGAGTTTCTTTCTTCTGTTGGACACAAAGGAAGATATTTTGAAGAATGCTGGTAACCAAACAGTTGACGGTAGCCATTGACATTTTTTCCATACTATGGAAGTCAATGGCTACCGTCAACTGTTTGGTTACCCACATTCTTCAAAGTATCTTCTTTTTTTGTACTCAACAGGAGAAACTCATACAGGTTTGGAGGATGAGTAAATGACACAAAAATAGAATAGAATTTTTATTGAAATTTAGTGCACTTAATATATACAATATTGGAATATAAACACATCTAACTAATTCTATCATCAAGTAATTCTTCATTGCAATGTGTTGAAACATTTATTTTTTAGTTCCTCATTTGATATTAGAAGTCAAACATGAAGTTGTCGGAAATTTATAAAGAAATTAATACTTTTATTCTGTAGAGATGCATGAAAATGATCAAAAGTGACAGAAAAAAAACATTTATAATGTTAGAAAGATCTATATTTCAAATCAATCATTTTTTAATGTGCTGTTTATCACTGTTTTCACAAAAAAATATTAATTTTCAATATTTCTATAATAATAATAAATGTTTCTTGAGCAGCAAATCAGTATATTAGAGTGATTAATTTTTATTGAAATTTAGTGCACTTAATATATACAATATTGGAATATAAACACATATAACTAATTCTATCATCAAGTAATTCTTCATTGCAATGTGTTGAAACATTTATTTTGTAGTTCCTCATTTTTATATTAGAAGTCAAACATGAAGTTGTCGGAAATTTATAAAGAAATTAATACTTTTATTCTGTAGAGATGCATGAAAATGATCAGATATGCTGATTTGCTGCTCTAGAAACATTTCTTATTATTAATAATGTTGTAAATAGTTGTGCTACTTAATATTTTTGTAATATTTGTTTTCCAGGATTTTTTTGTTAAACAGAAAGTCTAAAAACAGCATTTATTTGAAAGTTTTTGTCTTTAACGTCATTTGATCAATTCAATGCATTCTTGCTTGAATTCACATGAAATTCTTAAAAAACATCTTACTGACCCAAAATGTTTTGAATGATAGTGTAATATAAATATAAAATAAATGTTGTAATTCTGTTCAATGTAATATTTAGTAAATCTCAAAATGAGTATCCATTTTTCATACTGTACATTTTAATGCCGTAACATGAAAATAATTATTGGCTTATTGGTATCATTCAGGATTTTAATATTAGTGCATCCCAAAGTGCAGCCAATTGAACGTTGGTGCCTCACAGCCTGTCATACGCTTCAAGTTAATGACATTCATCCTGACTAACATTCATAATAATAAAAACAAATATACAAGGGTTGATATGTAGAAAGTTGGTGTTTAAATTCTGCAGGGCTAATCATTGGATATTCATAATCAGTTCATGTTTTATTCATGATAGTTTCATTTTCATCTGTTCTTAACATAGCGGATGGCGAGGGATTATCATTTTGTATGTGAGATAATGTGATTAATGCTGAAAAGTCTCTTAGACCGGAGAAGATTAAGCTAAGCTGCGTCTTATATTAAATGCCTCGGTTTATCTGAATTGCTAAATGACTAGTCAGTTGGCGAGCGGGATGGTGTCAGAGGAGCAGGATGGGAAGATGATCTGGGTAAGTAATGGGCCGTGACTCAATTAAAATTCCATGCTGCGTAAGT